GTGTGTGTGCCGCAGCGGAAGCTCCTGGGGGTGGCGGCCCCGCCCCAGGCCCCTGCCCTCACCCGCTGCAGCTCACCCTGGTCCAGGTTGCCGATCACAGCCTGCTTCTTGAGGAAGTCGCCACAGAGCTTCTTGCTCAGCCCAAAGGCCAGCATGTTGTGGGTGAAGGTGCTGCAGGGAACACCTCACTGTCACCCTTCCTGCACCTGGGAAGGGGACCCTGTGCCGGGCGCACCTCCTGAGGGAGTCTGTAGCCTCAGCTCCAGGTGTGGGGTGAGGGGCGGGCCGATTAGGGCCAGAGGAGGGGCCGGGGAGCAGAGCAGGGGACGCCGCTTGCCGCTTGCTGGCCTGTCCCGTCCCTGTCCCGTCCCTGCCCCTGTCGCGTGTCCCTCCTCACCCCAGCTGCCCGAAGGTGATGTTCTCATTGAACCGCACACTGTCGTCCCGCTCCTCCTGGGTCATGTGGCACCACTTCTCCCTGCGGAGGGACAGGAGGGGGACAGGGTTCAGACAGGGCCCGCCAGCCCTGTCCACTGAGGCGAGTGACCACACAAAGCCTGCGGGACCCTGGCCTTTTGCCCGAGAAAGAGACTCACAAGCTAGACGGCTCTCTACGGCTGGGGATGCAGCGTGGTGGGGCTGCCCACGGCCTCCCTCCAGGCCCAGGCCACCTCTCTGGAGCAGAACCCACACAGGAAAGGAGCCTGCCCGGGTCCCAGGAGCTGGGCCGAGGCTGTCCTGGGCCCACTGCAGTGGGCAGCATCTGCAGGAGCCTGGGGACATCTGAGGGCCACTGTCCCTTCCTTGGAGGACCCCGTGGCGCCTCGGTAGGGTGTCTCTGCTTGGCCCTGCAGTCAGTGCCCCTCTCCCCTCCAGCGCATGGAGATCCACCCATGGCCCTCCGCGGCCTCAGCACTGGGCTGGCCCCGGGCACAGGAGTGTCACCTGCCCCGTGGGTACAGGAAGAGCTACGGGTTCTCAGCAGGTCTGGGGCAGAAACCAGGGGCTCCCTGACCGGCCTCCTCCACGCACAGGGCTGCAGAGACTATCAGGAGCCACCAGGGGGCGCCTTCCTTCCAGGCAAGGCTCAGAGCACTGAACAGGGGCCATCCCCACCCGCACCGCCCTGCAGAGGGGCTGAGTGTCCCCGAGGAGCCGCGGCAGGTGGGAGGGGCATTCATGTTAGCCCATTTCCCCCAAAGAGGAAACTCGATGGACGGACGGACGGACGAGTCTGGGTGAACAAGGCTTAGAGAAAGAACAGGAAAGAGAGAAGAGCACACGGAGGAGGGAGAGGTCCGGAGCATGGAGAGGCTACAGGAGAGAAACAGAACAAGGACATAAACCCCACCCTGTCCACGGTGCTGCTGATGTCCCTGGCTACGCAGCAGGGGCTCGGGACTGGGGACAGCAGAGCCCCTCCAACTCCTCACGAGGCTGGCAGGACCCCACAAGTCCCCCAAAGACCCTCCCTTCCTCTCCTCCTCCCTCCCCGGCACCCTGAAGACCAGCCAGGCACACGAGGCCCGCAGCACCAGCCCACCGGGGACAGCTGTGCTGCCCACGCCGCAACCCACACAGGTGCTGTGACCCGGCAGGAGTGGCTCTCCTTCCCGCGGTGTCGGGGACTAGAACTGGGACCCCCTCCCGCCAGCCAGCGCCTTCCTGAGGGCAGCGCCGGGCCCAGCCCTGCACGCTGGCCTCCGAATCTGAGTCCTCCCTGCTGCAGCAGGCTCGAGAGTCATCACGGCTCCCCAGAGTGAGACCTCTGACCCGCCTCTGGGGCCCGAGGAGGATGGCACGGGGCTGCCTGGGCAGGGCCCACGGGCGGGGGTGTGGACAGTCCTGGCCTGAGCTCAGGGAGGCTATGGTGTGCCACCCATGCCAGGAAGCCATGCTCCAGGGGCCTCTGGTCACTGTCCCCGGGAGACTGCGGGCTGGGGCCTTGCTTGCTAGAGGACCTGTTCGCCCAAGCAGCCCTCCAGTGACATAGACGGGCTGCGGGAGTCACGGCTCTCAGCCCGGGCCCCCCACCAGTGCGTCGGGCACAGGAAGAGCGTGGGGCACCCCTCTGCAGGGCAGCCACACCGTGCCAGCCTCTCTGGCAGGTCTTTAAACAAACACGGCGAGGGACTCCGGCAGAGCTGGGACCGTGAGCATCAGCCCTGCCTGGCTGTGCTGCGGGGAGCCCGGCACTCCACACCCCCCTTCCCCAGTGGGGTGCCGGGAAGTTCAGCTCGGAAAGGCCCGGGCGGTGGAGGAGAGTGCGACTTGCTCCACCCAGGGGCCTCCTGCCTCCCTCTCTCCTCCCAGAGCCTGAGCCCGCGCTGCGCCTTCGGGCGGCCCAGGGGACCCCGGTGTGCTGAGTGCCTGGCCGCTTCGTCCAGGGACTCCCTCCCGCCCCGCAGGGCAGTGCAAATGAACAAAGTCACAGGGACACACACACCTCTTGTCCTCCTGCTCTCCAGCATCCCCTCTGGAGCGGCAGCAGAAACAGGTAAACAGAGGAACATGTCAGAGTCATGCAAGATATGTGGATGGAGAGGGACGAGCAGAGAGGGTCCCAGGCGGGGACGGAGAGGACAGAGAGAGACAGGCTGCTCGGAACACATCACCTCCTCGGGGGTGAGACCGGAGCGAGCCCAAGCCCGTCGCTGGCCCAAAAGCACTCAGCATTTCCCTCACTGAGTCTCCCACCAGAGAGCGCGTCCTCGGGCAGGGGTTCAGGTCTTGTCCTCCCTGGGCACCCCCTCTGCCTCCCCAGGAGAAGGAGCTGCTGCTGTGGGGCATAGGCGAGAGGGAGGGTTTCACCTAGGACTCCCTGGGGCGGCACAACCAAGTCCCGCTCTGCCCTCCGCTCCACAGCTCCCCCCAGAGGCAGGGTGGCTCAGGCCTCCAGGAGTGAGCAGCAGACTTGCTTTATCTCCAGACCAAGGCTCAGGGGCTCAGAAACCTACAAGTCACACAACTCCCCGGCAAGAAGGGCCCGGGCTGGCCTGGCTTCTGGGGCTGGCCGGGGGGTACAGGGGCTGCCTGGGCTTTCAGAAGTGGTTTCCTTCTGGTGCAGCCAGAAACCACCCCCGGAGCCCTGCACCCCAGCACCTCCACGCAGCCCGTCCCTGGACGCTGGGTCCACACAGTGGACAGAGGGTGTATGGGGTCCTGGGGCCTCTTCCTGCGGCGGTTCACAGTGTTAGGAGGGTCAGGCCAAGTCATGCCAGAGCCGGGGCAGAAAGCTCTCATGCAAGCTGAGCACTCCACCTCCCTCCAAGCGTGAGCGCCGCACCCTCAGGCAGCCAGCCGGGCCCAGGGTGGCAGGGAGGGTGGAGGAGACAAACAGGGCAACTCAGCCATTCTGCCGCAGGAAACTGGGAGGAGAACCAAGCCCTGCCTCCGCCCGGCCACTCCGGGCACCCTGGGCTCCTACCTGGTGGTGGGGGACCGCTTTCTCCTCTCACAGTGGACCGCGTCGAAAAAGGCGGCATTCCAGAACCTCAGCGTGTGCCTGCAGGAGGAGACGCCATGCGTGAGGGGCCCCTGCCACTCCCCTCTGTGCAGAGCCCAGGAGCAGGCAAGGCAGAGTGGGGCGCAGGGCCCGACACGGCTCCAGTGAGGCTGGAGGAACGAAGCTGCAAACCTGGGCTCTGCAGCTGGGGTTGCCGCTGCCGCCTCTCATCTCCCACGGGCTCCGTGAGGAAGCGGGCGGCCAGGGTTCTCCTAATATCACTGGGGACTTGGCACGGACACTCATGTGCCGAGGGGACATGGGGCCACAGGGACACGTGTGGGGAAGGCAGGAGAGCAAAGTGTGACGCCGGGCCAGATCTGTGGGTAAAGGGTTCCCATTATCTACGTGGCCTCTGGCCACCCTGGAACAGCTAGCTGTGTGGTGCAGGAGAGGCCACAGGGTCTAAATACTTAGTGCCCAGCCCCACAGGGACGCTGGGCCTGCGCCAGATGAGAAGACAGCACCGCGGCCCAGGCCGGGACGGTGGGCCCTGCACCAGCCCTGTACCAGCACCCGAGGGCGCGCTGGCCCCACGCCTCACAGGACCTCAGCTGGCCGTGAGCAACACACAGCTCCACTGTGACCTCCGAGGGAGGCCAGGGTGGACATCTGCAGTCCTATTGCTAGCGCCTCACCTGTGGGTGGACAAGGCACGCAGAGGGAGGGGCCCGGGGCTCAGAGGAACTGCCGATCCCCCGGAGCCGGGTGCCAAGCGCCGCCTCCCTGACCATTGGGGCCGCAGCCTGTTTGGTTCTGACACCAGCAGGCATGCAGGAAACGAGCCCAGTACCAGGCACCCTGTGCAGGAGAGGTGCCGGTGGTCCCAACTGCTGCGGCTGGGAAGTCCCGCTGGCACTGTGGGGCTCCGGCAGGGTGCCCGGCTGCACCACAGCCTAGATGGGGCTGAGCCTGGGGGCCGCGGGCTGGTGACACACCGCTGTGGGAGCTTGCTTGGCTCCCAGGGCAGCGCCCACGACCTAATCCACGTGCAAAGCCTCGTCGGTCACCACCTCACACTGCACCCGGGAACAAAGTCCCAGTGTGTGAACCCCTGGGGACACATGCAGACCATCACCAAGCCACAGCACCTGGTCTGTACTTCAACTACAACCTGCATTTCATATCCATCCACCCACCTCCCCGGGCACACACACACACAACTTTGTTGGGATGTAATCTACACATCAGGAAACCCACCTGTTAATGCAGGCAGTTCAGCCTGGGGCTGGTTGGTGGTAGAGCATCTGCCCTGGCCGTGCAAAGCCCTGGGACCCACTCCCAACACACGTAATAAATGAGTGCACCACTCAGCCAAGCGTGACGCCTGCAATCCCAGCACTCTTTGAGGCTGAGGCAAGATTACAAGTTTGCACTCAGTCTGGGAAATTTAGCATTTTAGCAAGACCCTGCCTCAAGGTTTAAACACTTAGGGCTGAGGACATAGCTCAGTATAAAGGGCCTACGTTCGATCTCCAGGATCACAGAAACCAGTGCACGATTCAGGGATGCCCTGCACAAGCTGTGCAGCCACCTCCACTGAGAGCAGACCTCGCACCCCACGAAGAACCCACCCCACTAGTGGTCCCTCTCTGTCCTCGCCCCAGCCCAGCCCCTGGCAACCACCGACCCATCCTGGCTCAGGAACTGCCTCTTCCGCACAACCTTACAGATGGAATTACGTGACCCGTCACGTGGTCATGGGCCATCCGTGTTGCGGTGTGTCACTTCACACCTTTTCGTGTGACATGGACAGACCACACCCTGCTAACCCTCGCACCAGCAGGTGGGCGCCTGGGCTGCTCCCACTCTGGGGCTCTGGAGCATCTAAGCGCAGGTTCTGTTCTAAGCGCGTGTCTTTGTCTCTCGTGGGCACATGTCTAGCAGGACAGCTGGGTCCCATGGTCACTTGCTGACCTCTGAGGACTGGCCTGGCTGCTGGCCATTCGCCCCAGCAGGGAGGAGACCTCTCCTTTCTCCACATCCTTTGCAGCAATGTGAGCATTCGCCTCTTTCACTCTGGCCACCCTGGAAGTGTGGTGACTGCTATTTCCCACGGGCACACGGGCAGCAAGGCATGGCTGCTGCCCCCGGCTAAGGCGGGGCCTTACCAAATGGGCTGCTGCTTCAGGTGCGTGTACAGGTAGATCTTCTCCCCCTTCGGCTCCTCCTCGGGGCTGGGCACCGTCACTGCAGCAGAGGGAGAAGGTGGCCAGGGCACGGGCTGCGTGGGGACCACAGCTCGCCAGACCACACAACACCCACCCGCCCTGCAGCCGCCCCTCCATCAGAGGTCACAGTGGTGGTGCAGCACATCTAGGGTGTGGAAGTCCCTGCACTGTAGCACTCTACCAGCCTCTCGGACAGAAGCATTCAGTCCTGCACACACTCCTAGAAAAGTGACTCTTCCCCAGAAATTCAGCAAGAAAAAACAGATGACCTCAGGACCATCCAGGGCAGCGGCAGGAACCTGCAGCACATGAGCTGCAGCGGGCTGTCATTGAACGCTCTGCAAGTTTCGCCATCACTGCTCTAGGGCCAGTAGTCTTGTGTCACAGAGAGGGGCATGGAGCCCTGACAAGTTAGCAATGTGCTTTTTTCCTCTTTCTGGGTAATGGTGGACTGGTTTAAGGTCCCTCTGGGGTCTGGGGTGGGGACCAGGCGGGCCCCGCCCACCACCCCCTCCACCTACTTGCCCCACCTACCTCCCCACTGGTCCCGCCCACAGCCCCTGCCTCTCTACTTGCCCTGCCCACCTCACCACTGGTCCCGCCCACAGCCCCGCCTCCCCGCACCTCGCCCTCACCAGTCTTGGGCTGCTTGTCCTTGGGTTTGTTCTCATCATCCCTGGAGGAAAAGAAACCACAGTAATGACAAACATGGCCCACACCACATTTTCTCCAAAGAAACTTCACATCTCTGAGCCGGGCTGTGTGCAGTTGGTGTGGTTTCTCTGCCTGCCCGGTGTGGATCCCTCCAGTCCTGAACCATGCGGAGCAGGGAGGAATGAGGCTGTGTCCCTGGCTGTAACCAAGTGCAGGAGCCGCTGAGGGGCCCGGGGACTGTGCTAGCTCCCTCTTCCTCGTGCCCATGTGCCCGTCTTTATGGGCATCTCAGCTTCTGCACCCCTGTGCCTAGCCATGCTCGGAGGGCCTGCAGTTCCTGTCCAAGCTCCATTCCCCCGCAATGGTGGCTTTCCCATCGCCCCACTGACACCAACTTGCTGCCCCTGCCAGCCCCATGCACTGCGTGTCGGGGACCCTGCAGCAGGTGGGAGCCGTGGAAAGCTGGATGGGGTCACTGGGTGACTCACGACACTCACTCGTTCTTCCTGACCAAGGGCCCCTTCAGCTTGGTCTCCAGCCCCCCGAAGAAGCCCTTCACGTGCTCCGTGTTCTTCAGCAGCCGCTCAGCAATGTCCTTCTTCTCGGCCAGCCAGCTGTTGGCAGACTTCAGGTAGGCATCGATGCTGCCAGCCACCTTCTCCCTGGGCTCCGCAGGCAGCAGGTGCGGCTTGCCTGAGAGGGGGGGCAGGGGTGAGGACGGCTCCCAGGGCACAGCAGGGTGGAGAGCCCGCGCCCGTGTGTCCCCTGAAGGGCAGTTGAGCAACGGCCCGACACCTGGGGTCAGGGAGGGACAGGGCTCCTTTCTGGGGCATCTCTGAGTGCTGCCTGCGTGGTCAGCCAGAACCAGCATGAGGAGAGGAGAGGCAGGAGCAGCCCTGCAGAATCGGAGGGAGGAAGAATGGGTCCTGCAGAGCCAGCTCCGCAGAGAGGCCTGACAGCGGGCTGGGAGTGGGCTGTCCCCAAGTTGGACAGCCAGGATGGGCAGGCCCAGGATGGGCAGGCCCAGGGTGAGCTCCATGGCATCTGGACAGCACCTCTGGCAGGTGTGAATGGTAGAAATGAGGAGGTTGCACCAAGGAAAGCAGAGACCCCGCCAGGCAGTGGGGAGCCCACGGGGCCTCCGCAGGCAGTGGGATGGTGGGCTCCGCTAGCTGAGGGGCCTGTGCAGAGACTGGGCCGGGCAAGCAGCACCAAGCCAGTGGTTTGTTTGCAGTGCGGGGGACTGAGCCCATGGCCTCTGCACTGAGCTTTGCCCTCCACCTTGCTTTGCTTTTCTTTTTGAGAAGGTCTCACTAGGTCGCTAAGTTGCCCAGGCTGGGCTTGAACTTGTGATCCTCCTGCCCCCGCCTACCCATGTGTGGGATTGCAGGCACATGCAGCGTGCCTGCCCTGAGCCAGTCTCTGAGAAGACACCTTCCCAACTGGCCCTGGGGCTGATGCTCGGCCTGGCATGCTGGGCCCTGTGGCGTCCTACCCGGAGACAGGCAGGCAGGCCAGCTGCTGCCCACAGAGCTGTGAGGCATGGAGAGAGTGGGTGGCCAGGCAGCAGGACTCGGAGCCGTGGCAGAGGGAAAGGGCTGTGTTAGGAGGAGGGAGGGCGCTGGAGGGGTGCAGGGCTCAGCCTGCCTGCACCAGGTCTCCAGCCAGGTGGGCCTGCCAGCTGTGCTGCTGCGGCCCGGGGGCTGCAGTGCAGTGAGCCGAGGAGACGTGTGGCTCAGCACCCAGGGAATTTGTCCTGGTAGAGGCAGGTCTGGCGTGTGGGGCTCGCTCCACTCAGCGTCCTCTGACTGCTCCACGCCCTCCCTCGCCGGGACATAAAGCTGTGGCCCTCCCAGCAGCACTCCTGTCCCTGTCCCCACTGTGCCACGTGTGTTTCCCATGACCTGTCTTTCCCTGTGGACGCGGCTCTTCCCTGCCTGCCACTTCCCAGTGTGGCCTCTGCTCTCCGAGGCCCTGTCACTTTGCCTCTAACATGAAGAAAGTCCCTGCTGACGCCACACCTTCGTCCCTGAGGGGCTCCGCCAAGCACCCCGCTTACCGCTGTGATAGTAGGTGAAGCACATGGTCATGAGGTTCTTGGCGGGCCCGAAGTCATCCATCTGATGGCACCTGAAGCGACAAGCGTGGCGAATGGCTGCAGAGTCCTCCAGCCGAGCTCATTCAGCTCCCGAGGTGAGCGGGGACAGTGGCCAGCAGGACAGCAGCCGACAGGGCACCAGCCCGCCACTGGCAGAAAGACGCTCACAGCCCTCACGCCAGGCCTCTTCCACTTGGAAGGTGAAAGTCAGGCCCAGGAAGCTCAGCTGAGCCCTGGCCTGCAGCCTCAGTCCCGACCATTGGCCCCGGCCTGGCTGCACTCAGCACCGAGCAGCAGCGTCTGGATCCTGGAGGGCAGCGAGGGCTTCAAAAATGGCTGCTCTCTGCCACAAGGAAGTAACCCTGTGACAGTGGCCAGAGCCACTGCGAGCGGGAAGAGCAATGTGAATGTCTGAGCCCCAGGCCTGAGCTGCATGCACTGGGGCAGAGCGCATACACGAACCCCACTCTGCCCTTGGGGCCGCATGTACACACAGCCTTGCACGGGGAAAAGCCACATGCTGGCCTGCGTGTCCTCCCCAGGTCCCTGGGAGGGGAAGGAGGGCCCACAGGGAATGAGGGAGAAGCACACTGCCACTGCATTCCAGGCTTCTTTGCTTTCTCTCTCTCTCTCCCTCCCTCCCTCCCTCTCTCTCTGACCCAGGGCCTTGCACTGAGCTACATCCCCAGCCCTTTTCCGTTTTGTTTTGTTTTGTTAATTTTGAGACAGGCTCTCTGCAAGTTGCTAAATTACCCAGGCTTGAACTTGGTCCCCACCTGCCTCTGGCTCCCGGGATACTAGGGTTCCAGGCAAGCACCACCACACCCAGCCTGTCCATTCCCTTTCACATTCTTCTTTACTGTTCAGTTTTTTTGTTTTTTTTTTTTCAGAACTGGGGATCAAACTTAGGACCTTGCGCCTGCAGTGCCGCTGAGCTAAATCCTGGGCCCTATTACTTTTAAAGGAAGGTCAACAGAAAACATCTAGACAGTAGGCATAAGGGCTGTTTTTTTTGTTTTATTTTTTGTTTTTTTGGTACTGGGGATCAAACTCGGGACCTTGTGCTTTCGAGGTGGCAGCAGAACCGCTGAGCTAAATCCCCGGCCCTGTTTTTGTTTTTTAAAAATACTTTAGAGCAGGAGCTGGGCTGCCTCAGTAGAGCACTTACCTACCGAGCCCAAGCCCCTGGGATCAATCCCTAGCACTGCAAAACCAAATCTAACCAACGTCCAGAACGAAGCTATTAATAAAGCTATAACAGACGGGTTAGCAGAGGACAAAGTACAAACTGAAGCTGCTATAAACTAAAACACACACAATCCACAAGTCCTGTGCAGGACAGGAGCAATTTATGCAAAAAGAGGGCTCCTGGCAGTGTCCAGAGCTCTGAGTGTTGGCCCATGGAGGTCTTGGAGCCCAGGCCCACGGCTGCTGGGCCCTGTTCCACTGACTTCGGGCACAGTCTTCTTGCCCACCCAGACCCCTGAGGGCTGCCTTTCCCTGCCATGGGCACAGGGAGCCAGCGCAGGAAGAGGGGATCCTCCTCTCTGCCGGTCCTTTCCCCCCAGCACCTGCCACATTCAGCAGGTGCAGAGAAAGGCAGTGATGGGGAAGCAACCACCTCCCTGCAGATGAGCACAGTGTGCAGGGCCAGAAGGACAAAGGGCTCTGGACACGGGGTATGTCCGGTAGCAGGGAACAAGCCCAGGACGGAGGACAGGCAGGGCCCCAGCAGGAGCTTCCCTGAGGCCATGTGCCACACCCCGGGCTCATTCCCACCCACAGACCCCCAACCTCACTACCCAGCTGCAGAAGAGGCTGCAGTCACTACAGGCTGAAAAAAGCAGCCCTCCCTTTTGTAGCTGGAGGGCAGCACCTGCTTCAATCAAGGACAGGAGTGAAGGGGGCCTGGCCATCCGAGAGCCGCACGCACCAGGGGCCCGTTCCTCAGCTGACAGCTGGGCAGAGGCAGGGAAGGGCTGGCCACACCTCTCCAGCCTACAGCCCCGGCCTTCTGGCCACCCACAGCCCACAGGGCAGCTACCAGCCAGGCACCTCGTGGGGGTGCATTGCCATGAGGGGCGGGTACCCCGCTGGAAGTGCTTCCCCAGGAAATGGAACTGCTCAGGACCCCACGGGGAGGGCGGCCATGGTGCCCAATTCGAGGCTGAGCTCTGCCTGGCTGCAGCTCCTCCTGCCTATCTAGGTAGGGACCCAGCTGTGCTCCCGGGAGATGCTGGTCGTGACTGCTGGAGCACCTGAAGCTGGTGGCGGAGAGTGACTCACACTGAGGGGCAGGAAGCATCACTTACTCAAACAGCACCACGGCGAAGGACTGCACCAGGCGGTAGAAGGTCGGCTCAGACACACACTTGGAATTGCAGCGCTGTGTGCAGAGAGGCGGGTGCGTCAGCAGGGCACAGGCACGCACAGGGGTGCTCAGAGCGGCTGGGGCTGGGCCTGGACGGCCACGTCCCTTCCTGCTGGGAGCCTGCACAGGGAGTGGGCACGGCACAGAGCTCCGCCCACTCAAGTGCCCACCGGGTGCTCTCCTGTGTCACAGAGCCACACAGAGCACGGAGGGACGAGCCTCAGGGATGACGGCGGCTCTGTGAGCTTGGCTTCTGCTGTGTTTTCTAGTTTAACCTGAAGAGCGCATCAGGTGGTGCTTGGAAAATGCACTTCTTTCAGCTTTCTGAGTACGTTTTTCTTTACAGGGCTCTCATTGTCTTGAATATATCACCATTTGCAAATACCAAATGTTGTGGGCTATTTAATAAACTAGGTGTGGACAAAGCACACTTGTTTGGGTTTAAAAACTCGCTGCCCTGGAACTTCTGGAGCTGACAAACCCTCCTCCCTGGGCGAGCACTGAGCTCACGGCCCTCATGGACTCCTCCCACGACGCTCTGTGCCTCCCTTCCCAGGAGGTTGGTTGGTTGGTTTGTTTTGTGGCACTGGGATGGAACCCAAGGCCTCTGGAGTGAGCTACATCTCCAGACCTTTTAAGCCTTTTACTCTGAGGCAAGGTCTCACTAAGTCCCTAAGTTGCCCGTGTTGGGCTTAAACTTGCAATCTCCTGCCTCAGCCTCCCAGAGTCTGGCATGACAGGTTTATGCCACCACACCCACTCCTATGACTCATGTCCCCAAAGTGGAACTGTGCGACAAACTGGGGAGGCAAGAGGTCCTCGCCTGTGGCCTCACCTGGGCACTCACGTACCGGGCGAACCACTCCCGGCCCTTGCCATCCTCACTGCTGCAGTACTCTCCGAACTTGGCTTTCTCCTCCTGGTCTAAGTCCTCCCTGGAGAGCGGCAGAGGGAAAGCAAAGCCTTTTAGTCCCCAGAAGAAACCTGTGCAGCCGGCGGGGAGCAGCGAGGAGGACGAGCCAGTGCAGCCCAGCCTTGCAGTTCGGGCACCTGTGTGCCTCTGCTCTCCGCAGACCTGCAGGAGTGGGCTGCTGGTGCTAAGGCGAGGAGCCTGGCTCGGTAACTGGGGTGGCCTCAGAATGGGGCGTCCGGACCCGCCAGCCGCCCTCGTCTCCCACCTCCGGCCCACGAGGCCTGAGCCCAGCGCAGGCCTCAGCCGTGGTCCTTTAGGGAACAGCCTTCCTCCACGGACTGCCTTAGGCAGTCTCATTTATTTAAGGAGTGTGAATCGTGCTCTCATTTACCCTACATTACCAACCCTGGGGAAACGTGAATTTGTCCGTGGTTTCTGGGACGCCCTGGCCGTCCTGCACCGTGACAGGCTGCTGCCAGTGTGGACCGGCCAGTGGCAATTAGTGGACTCTCTCGCCTTTGCATCAGCCAGAGTGCTCGCAGGGAAACTGAGTCATTTGGTGGTGCCATGCAGACGGAATGCAAAGCCACCTCCGCTGCCCTCTCCCAATGGTTGGAACTTGAACACAGATGCACTCTGGGTTGTCACGGAAGCATCCCCTTCAGACCACCCAGAAACAGAGGCCAGGCCCACCCAAGGAGCTCTCAGAGGAGCCTCGCTCGTGGGGGACACGGGGCTGGGCAGTGCCAACTGGCAGGGCGTGGGCCTCGTGGAAATACAAGTTCTCGCCAGTGGGGCCTGGGGTCTCAGGCTTGGGGATGCCGATGTCGATGGTCCACCCTGAGACTCTGAGCAGCATTCAGGGTGCTGCCATGGGTGCTGGAGGTCAGCCGGCGGCCCTCGGGTGCCAGGGCTATGAAGGCTGTGAAAGCCCTTGTGAGACCCCACTTCTGCCCCATGTCCAACCCAGCCTGTGTGCCAGGTGCCCGGCAGTCAATGCCCGAACTCCGCCTGCCAAGACCCCACCTAAAGGCCAGGAAGGGACCCTGTGCACACAGAAGTGCTACAGAAGCCCAGGGAACCAGGATCTTGTTACTTTAACAACCCCTGCACTTTGTTTTCTTTATTTTGCAATGTAATTCAGGCTGGCCTTACCACTTACTATGTAGCCCAGGCTGGCCTCAAAGTCACAGTGATCCTCCTGCCTCAGCCTCCCTCCTGAGGGTTGGGACCACAAACATGTGCCACCACACCCAGCAAACAGCCCCTGAATTTAACTCCAGCAAATAACCGTGGCCGCTGAGCCACTGGCAGCCCTGCAGGACCCCACTCACAAGGAGCTGCCCTCTGAATGCTCAGATGGTGCAGGGGGCAGACAAATGCCCCTTGCATGTAGCAATGACAAGGCAGGACGAGGGCCAGCGGGGCAGCAGGAGCAGAGGGGAGGAAGTGGGAACCACCCCGCAGGCAGCCCCCGTCTGAGCCTGACCTGGGAACAGAGAACTGGCTACGGCGCAGCAGCTGTCCCGTTTACGGGGCTGCAGCAGACCTGCACTCCTCTCCTCCTGCTCCAGGCTTTCTCCGCCCGTGTGGCTGTGAGTGCATGCGGCCCAGGAGCAGGAGGCTACTGAGAGCAGCACGGCAGACGGCCTGGCCAGGCCTGCTGCCCAAGTCCCCACCATGCCCAGGGGTGTTCACGAGATGAAGAGGGAAGGAGAAAACTAAGGGGAAGCAGGGATGGATGGTCCACCCAGCTGAGTCGAGCACTCCTGGGGTCACAGGGCTGGACAGGCTGAGCCCCACTCCCTCCGTGGCTACTCGAGTGCCTAGCTTGGCCTGTAAGCTGGGCATTTTGATGACCGCCCCCCTAGAGGCTCCCAACATGGCTGCCCCAGAACCTCCCGGGCAGCATGCACTTCTGCGACATGCTACACCCAGGGTGCTGGCGGATGGAGCTGGGCTCAGGGATCTTTTTTTTTTTTTTTGAGACAAGGTCTCACTATATAGTTCAGGTTGGCCTTGAACTCATGGTGATCTTCCTGCCTCGGCCTCCCAAGTGCTGGGATTACAGGCCTGTGCCACCACGCCTGGCCAGGAGATCCTTTAGAGACCCCCATGCAGCCTGGCTGGGTGAGAGCCAGCACACTGGCCCCAGGAGGTCCCGGGAGGAGAAGGGCCCTACCGTCCCGAGAAGATCTTCTCCACATAGCTGCACATGAACTCGCGGAGTGCCTGGGTCTCCTCATCCTGGGTGGACTCCGCACTCTGGGTGGAGGAGAAGGACTCGCTGGAGGAGGAGCGGCGCTCTTGCTCCCAGGAGGGGTGCGAGGGTGACTCGCCCATGTCGTTCTCGCTGTCTGCGGATTCCGTGGCTTCACTCTCAGATGCACCATCGCCCAGGGAGCCGTCCCTGTCCTGGGGGGCTGGGGGTGCGGCCTCCAGGGGAGGGGAGGCTGGCGGCTCAGTCCCAAAGTCAATCAGAGAGCCCACAGGCACCTCTGGGGCCTCCATGGTGCGGGCAGGCTGTCAGGGCAGCCTCTGAGGTGCGTCGGTGGGAGCCTGCCAGGCACACACAGTAGCCACAAAGGGCGAGTCTTCTAGGGCAGCTGGGTGGCCCTATGGCATCTGGGAGAAAAAACAGACAGCGACACCATCACCACGTGGGAGCCTCTCCTCCCAGGAGGGAAACTCAGAAACCACAGTACAGACAGAAATGGCGCCGCGCTGGGCCGCACTGCGCCTGTGAGCACAGTGGTCTCCAAACTGTGGGAGCAAGGGATGCTTCTCCCCAGCATCATTTTCCCCTGCTGCCTGTTCCTGTCGACACCTGCAATGCAGCAGTCACGACAGGGATCTGCTAAGCAAGCCAGCAAAGACGCATTGCCACGGGCATGGAGCACGCCACACAGAAGCCCACCCTGGGCTACACACAGGACACCAGCTTCGGGCTCCCATGGGTCTCTGCCCTGCTCCTGTGGCCTCGCTCTTCCCTCCTGCCCAGAGGGACGCGGCTCATACCCTCCCACGGCTCCTGTATGTGATGCTCTGGCCGGGACCCGCCCTGCCTCTCCACTGGAACAGCTCGTGTGAGCCTGCCGCTCCCTCCTCAGCAGTGCCTGCTCCCGCGGGACGGTGGCACTGGGCTTCTGCGTGCCTGTCGCTGGGCTCTTGGACGCAGCCCAGTGCAGACACTGAACTAAAGAGCACTCGGGGCATATTTGCTTAATGCACAGACTTGGCCCTGGATCTGAGAACCGGTCGGGGTCAGTGACGCTGGTCCCACAGCGGCCAAGCTGCCAATCTCTGAGCTCCCTGCCCATCCAGGGACCCTGCCACTTGTGGTGAGGGCCATGGCTGAGCAGGGCAAAGCCCCTCGATGGCAGCCCTCGAGGAGAGCGCACCTTTACCCTCCACGTCCCTCCCGGCTCCCCATACCGGGCAACACCTGCAGCGCAGTGGCCAGCGCCGTGGAACTGAGCACCTGTGGAGGGCAATCAGCACCAAAGGACTCACTGCCTCCCCAGCCCTGATGTGCAGAAAGAAACCCACTGTGGAGCCTCCGCCCCCCAGCCTGGGATGTGGACACCTTGAGTGGGGAAACGGTGCTCTAGGGCTCTCGGGGGCCCTGCACACACTCAGGGAGCTTGCCTTGGTCCACACAGAGGCGGAGACCTCGGCTCAAAAGAACTTTCCAGGCCAGGCCTGCAGCAGGGCTCTGCGGGAGGGCAGTGGTCATGTGGGGGTGCAGCGGGTCCCCTGGCCAGCTGTGCGCTCCGCCAAGCCCACATCCCTCATGGGAGGCAGTGAAGTGAGAAGTCAAAGGTCCACAGAGACTATGTCTCACCCTCTCCAGAGGGCAGGGTCACATCGGGCAGGACAGCCAGGAGCCAGAGGAAGGCCTGCAGGAAGTGGAGTCAGTCCGACGCGGGTTACACATGCCCTCATTCTGCCCAAAGACACCCACTTGGGGGGGGCGGGTTACTGGGGCTCTAACTCGGGTCCCTGCACTTGCGCAGCAGGCGGCGAAACCACTGAGCTAAATTCCCGGCCAAGGCACCCACCTTTTAACAGGCAAATAACCACTCATGAGGGCAAGGCGCAAAGACAAAACAGCCATTAAATGCTTCGACAATCCTTTAACCAGTACTAATAACTATATGCACAAACGTGCAAGTTAAAGCAATCAGCAACAGTCTTAGACTACTGAGTTACAAAAATTTTTAAACTGCAACTCAATACTGGTAGGGAGGGGTACGGTGAAACTAATATTCCCAAATGTTGTCAGTAATAAGGATAAATAAGCCCTTAAAAAGCCTTTAATTTCTGTAATTCTTACTTTTTCCTTTCCTATGATTCAGAAATTCATATGCTTGGAATTTATCTTTAGAAAATAATTCAAGAAAGTTATGTGGGGAAAACTGCTGCACTGTCACCCTAATGCTGATAAATATGGAAACACGCAAAAGAAACGGGGACGATGCCAGGAGACAGGGATCACCTGGGCCGTGGGAAGACCCGGGCTTTGGGCCAAGGAAGTACTGCGTCCTGCCGCTGCTGCGCTTGCTGGGGGCTGGGAACCGGGACAGAACCTGCTCTCCCACTGGTCACCGCTGTGAACACCCACAGGAAAGGGTCAGAAAGCCGGGGGCCCAGCCCTGGGTGCGAGGCTGACGCCAAACTGACCCAGGGAGGCTGGTTCCCTTCCAGCCCAAATGCTCTCAGGGCTGCACGGTGGCCAGTGCTTTCGGCTGGAGTCACCCTCGCCTGAGAGTCCTAGGCTCAGGAAGGAGGTGACAACAGGCACAGAGCGAGAAGCAGTAGACGGGCTGGGGCAGTCCCAGGCCCTGTGTGGGCAGCATGCCCGGTGCCCGAGTGTCTCTCAGGACAGCAGCAGGACTCTCACCCTGCTCCCGAGCTGGTGAGTCCCAGGGGAGCCACCGTGTCCAGGAAGGGGACAGGAGCACAGGCCTCTGGAGACAAGGCAGCCTCTCAGCCACCTCAGGTGACCACCTGGGAAGACAATGTGGAAGTGGCCAGCAGGGATGCCTGCACTGTCCCCCTCACAGCCAGCTGGGAGACATCTAGGAGCCCAGGCCCTAGGTACCAGAGCTTCCAGAGTGTTCTAAGGAGTGCTGAAATCCGCTACATGAAGTCTTCCAATATTTCAATGATCACAACTGATTTAAATTTATTTCAACTATATGGGCAAAAATACAAAACAAAACAAAAACAAAACCAAGACCCAAACCAAGAGAACCCCACATCCATGGGCTGCACCCCAGTCCATGTGCTCTGTTCTCCATACAGGCGGCCTGAGGTCCCCTGCAGTCCCTGACTCTGAGACCCTGGGTTCTGCTGAGGGAAGGGTCTGGCACCAGGGTGTTGGGAGCCATGCTACATAACTTTAGGGAAAAATCATTTGGTTAGCCTAGTTCTCCTGCCTACAGCCCAGCTATAGAATTCGGAGACATAATTGCATTTTGGCCTCCGGTCACAACTGAGACCTCAATGATCCGGTGATGCTGTGATGCTCCAGGACAAGAAACATCCTGGGAGCTGAAAACATCCTGGGAGAAACAAACATCTACTCAGTTCCTCATTTTTCTTGGATTGTTACATCTTGTTTAGGCAGGATGTACTGAACTCTCTGCAAGTCATTTGTTACATTTGTTTCTCTGGATGTACTGAGTACTGAATAAAAGGTGCAGTAAACTGTGGGCTTTCATCTTTGCCGCCCAGAGCAGCACTGATCAGACCCAGAGCTCAGCTTCTTCTCAGTCTCATTTTTCTACTTTTCCTGTAATTTGTCTTGTGCTGCTTTGGTTCGAAGGAGACTAGGACTTACTGCAGAGGTTCTGGTAACGTCCCTTTTCCGTTTCCTGCACCAGGGGATAAGCAGGGTTCCCCAGGACAGGGCTGAGTCGGCCAGCCAGGTACTCTTACCTCTGAGGCAAAACTGTCATCCTTCATCCCACAAATACTGCTGAGTCAGGAGCCCAGCAAGGAGCTGGGGGCGGGGGGGGGAGGGGCTGTGGGCGTCCCTGTGTGTGGGGTGAGGGACAGGGAAGGGAAGGGACAGCTGATTCAGAAAAACCTAAGGACACCCTGGGCCCCTGGCTGCCCAGTGCTCTCTGGGAGAGGTCCAGCCCTGAGAAGCCCCTGGCCGGGAAGAGATGCATGCAGGCCCCAGCAGCGAAGGCTCCAGGAGGAGGAAGAAGCTGAGGGGGCCTGGACAGGCCTCAGGCACTGGGAGCCCTGCAGGAAGGAGGCAGGGAGCGCACGGAGTGCAGAGGAGGCAGCTGTGAGGATGCCCGACCCCTGCAGCCTTTCCCAGCCACCTCCCGCTGAGGGGAACTGCAGCCCAGCCACAACCGGCCTCAAACTCTGATTTCCCCAGCACCCGGGGCACAGGTTGCTGCTTCTCCAGTGGCCTTGAGCAATCAGCGGGGGTGGGGGCACCGTGGGGAGGAATCCAGAACGCTTGCAGCCCAGGTTGTGGCCACAACCCGCAGGCAACTGGCTCTCAGCGCCCCAAGAACCAGAGACGCCTGCTCCTGACAGCACACTATCCAGGTGGAGTAGGGCAGGGCAGGGCCATGTCCACACACAGCAGTGACAGCACAGATGCAGCTGCAGGCCAGGGCGCCCCCTGGACACAGTCCTCAAGGGGACTTGCTGGCCACAGGTCACACTGGGAGGCTGAGGACACTGGTATGGCCCAGCGACCTCACCCAAGGTCTGCCCTGTGGTGACACACACTTTACAGACAGATTAAGCTAAGGACTAGGAGTTGGGGAGAGAACCTGGGTTATACAGGTGAGCCCGACATCATCACAAGCAACCTTCCCAGGGAGTCAGAGTCGGAGAAGAGCTGTGAGGATGGCCCTGAAGGTGGAGGAGGCTCTGAGCCAAGGAGTGCAGCAGGAAGAGGCAGGAAAGAGATTCTCCCGGACCCTCGGGCAGGAGCCTGGCCAACACCTTGACTGTAGCTACTGAGGTGGGTTTCGAATTTCTGGGCCCCAGAATTGTGAAATGATAAATGTTTAAAGCCACTAAGTACACAGTAGTTTGTTACATTAGCAAAAGGAAGCAAAGACAGACAATGTTGTTACGTCAGAAAGACTAAGTTCAGACTATTAGGTATTTGTCTGAGTCTAGGCATGCCAGGAAACATAAAACCTACTGCGGCAAGAAGCTGGGGAGTCTGCTCTGCAAAGAGGGCCCCGGCCCACACCCAGCAGGCCAAGTCCAAGGCCAGCCCTTTCCTACCAGCACGCTTTGGAATCTGACAGCGGCCTCCCTGTATCAAACTTGTGGTGGCTGTGAAGGTCTTCCCCTCCCTTCCTCTGAAATGCACTGTGCTGTACTGGACTGCAGTGTACTAGTGAGGAAGGGTGGGGAACAGACTGGGGGCTGGGGGCTGGGGGTGGGGGGCAATTCCACCTCGAGGACAAAAATCACTCTCTGCTTTGTGTATTCCCTTCTGGTCTCCATCAATGTACAGTTTTTTGTTTTTGTTTTTACCATTTCAGAGCTGGAAAAAATCTCAATCTTTAGTCTGCACGCACCACACTCTTCTCTCACAGCGATACACGGGCGGCCCTGTGTGGACGGAGCCCCCTCCC